TAGGTCTACTATGGAATCAAAATTCATAACTTTAGATAAAGCTAGGGAAGAAGCAGAATGGCTTCGCCACTTCCTTGAAGATATTCTAATGTGGCCAAAATCGGTGCTTGCTATATGCATATATTGTGATAGTTAATCAGCAATTGGTAGAGCACAGAGTCATATGTTTAACGGTAAGTCGCGACACATTCGTTGTCGTCATAACACCGTGAGACAACTACTCTCTAATGGAATTATTTCCATTGAATATGTGAAGTCTAAAGACAACATAGCGGATCCACTAACCAAACGGTTAGCAAGAGAGTTAGTTGAGAATTCATAGAGAGAAATGAGACTTAAACCTATTAAATAAGAGTTATCACAAACAGCAACCCAACTTAGTCAATTGGAGATCCCAAGATCTAGGTTCAAAGGGACAATCGAGTTATGAATGGCTCATAAGTATCATTGGGGATTGGAACTCCTATCCATTTCTATGATGAAATAGTGATGTTTGCAGCATTTTAGGTTAAGTAATACTTTTAATGATTCTTATATCTAGGAATACCTAATGGAGTATGACAGGATACTTTTCATAAGAATCACCTATATGAGTGTGAATTGGGCCGGTTTTATGAGATTTGTGAAGGGCTACAATTCTCTACAGCACTAATGAAAAACCAGGTTGTCCAGGGCCAAAATAAACACAATAGTGAGAACTAAACTGTGCATGGTAATATGTTGTATGAGCTCTATTGTTTTGGTTTACACAAATGGCTGAACAGTTCAAGACATCTTGTTTACTAGTTAGCTAGTAAATCCGGTAGTGTCTCACAAGGGAAGGTTCAAAGCCAAAAGCTACCTATCATTTGAAGAATATTTTCAATTTCTGTACTCTCTGTAATTAGATCATGTTGTTGCATTTTCTCTCCATCAAATTCTATTCATGTGGGGGATTGTTAGAATTTATGGTTTTATAGGTATATTTTGGGCCAACTTTAAGCTCAAATTCGAGTGGGTCCCATACGTCTTTTAGGGTGGGTCCAAAGAGGTGACGTGTTTCTTTCCGCATGACAAGTCACAAGGTGAAAATGGTTTGACAAAACCATTTACGAGTGAATGAAAAGTTGACGTCGTTTTCAGGTTCGTAAAATGGACAATTAAAGAGTCAAAAGTGGATTTCCTTGAAATGTTAGTCCTACATTGAAATTTTAAATGAGTTTATGTGGGTATATAAGCTCTAGGTAGACAAACTTGGGAGGGCACTCCAAGTTTGTAGAAGGGAGGAGTTATGGACAAAGTGGGCCTTACCTTAGACCACCACACGCGCGTACACGCCGCCGTCGTCCGACTGGCCGGGCCAAGCCGTGTCGGGCGCGGGTGTGGGTGTGGGTCGAGTCGGTCTTACTATTAATTTTTTTGACAAAATTTATTTGAATTGTTCCTAAAAAATTCTTGCCAGAAAAATTATTTTTTCTGAATGAAATTAAATTCAAATTTCGTGCCAAATTTGAATTCAATTTTCTGTCCAAAACAATACCCCTTCGATCCAGGTTCAAACTGTTTTTTAACAGATTTAAAACTACCAGCAGTTGTGGACAGATTCAAACTGTTTTTCAGTAGATCTGTTCAAATTTGAATCATATCTGTTCAATTCAAAATTGTACCTATTTGACTCTTTCCAACAGTTACCTTCCTTGTCTATAAATACTGGATCTTTCCAGTAGAGTTCTTTATCTAGAAAATTCTTTTTCTCTTCCTTTTTTGCTCTCTTTGCATTATTCTTTATATTAGTTTTTTAGAAAAAATTCTGAGAGTATAGAACACAGGTTTTGTTTGTCGTACAGATTATTTGGAGTGCTACTACAATCTATGAAAAGATTATTATATCTTGGGAGATAGACGTTATTTATCTGTAAGCACCGTAGCAGGATGAATTTGTCTTAAGGATAGAGTGTCACACACTTGACTTGATCAATTTTGTACTTATTTATTTCGGTAAATAAATTCTGTAAGTAATTTATTTTTATTTGTTTGATTTGGTTTCAAGTTATTTATTTTACATAGAGGATTGTTCTAATAAGAGTTGGTAGATGAAATGCGTCAAACCCATCTTGTGACGCTTAGCACTGTAGCTAAGGTTGTGCGAAGGCTTGCCGGTGTGGGAGATTGAAAAGATGCTGTGAGGACATTCAATGACTTAGGAACTTTTGGGTTGGAGAAAAGTACAGAAACAATGAACTTGTTGCTTGACACCCTTTGTGGAAAAGAGAGTTGATTGGTATGTGTACAATTATTATGAGTGAAGGTTATAATTGTAATTTTTAGTGTGTGAATTGAAAAAATTAATTAATAATCAAATTAATAGGTGTGTGTACTAAGAGAAGATGTGCACTAAGGTAATTAAGTGTGTGGAAATAGAATTTCTCCAAGAATGTTTGTGTAATTACGAGAAAAATTTAGTTTATAATTGACCAAGAATACTTGTATAATTACGAAAAAAGCCTTCACCTAACATATAAGCCCTCATTAGTAAATTATTCAAAGTAAAAGGACAAAATCAAAAAGAAAAAATGAACCTCAAGCAGCTAAACCCCTCTTACATAGATAGATATAAACAAATTTGCCTGCTTTGCTCAATAAGACATTATTTGTGTATATCTCCCGTGATTCTTCACTATATAATTTAATTATATAAAAAAATAATTTTCAAAAATTCAGTTTTTTATTTTATTTTTTTATTTTGTGTGTGTGTGTTTCACAAAAAGTGATTTGTTGTTAAAAAAATTTATGAAAATAATCTTCAAAGACAATTTTCCAAACAATTTTGAGAAGAAAAGAAAAAAAAACACAACTGAACAAAACAAAACAAAACAAAACCTGAATTTGTCATGAAGAAAACAATGGTTCACTTTCATGCCAATGTCAATTAGAACCGTTTTGGAGCTGAATTGAGAAGATTAATCACAAAGTTGACCTTGAACTAATTGAAATTAGGCATGTTGAATTTTGAGCTCAAAATCAATATTGAACATTATTCAACTTGATTTTTGACTAAAATAATTAAAAAGTTAATAAATAAATAAATAAATAAAATGCACAGTAGAAATATTTTTTTATTAACTAGTACACTGATGCTACCTAAATATTTTTTTATTTTTTATTAACAAACCACTTTTTTCATTTCACTTAATAATCAAAAAGTTAAAAAAATAAATATAAATTCATTATAATTTTTTTTTAAAAAAAAAACTATTAAAAAATAAGTCAAACATGTTAGTAATTTACGATCTTCAATACAATTAAAAAAAATATTTCCAAACACACTTCTTGAAAAAAAAACTAAAAAAATAAAAAAGTTGATTTACATAGAAACATTGTTGGGTTAATGGGGATAAAAATTATTCACTTAATTCATTTATGATTTTTTATGAACTAGTACACTGATGCTACCTAAAATATTTTTTTATTTTTTATTTTTTATTAACAAGCCACGATGGTTGGACATTGTTGGGGCAAATTACATATACACCCCTCGAGGTTTGGCTAAATTACAGATTCCCCCCTGAGGTTTGAGAAATTACGAATTCCCCCCTGAATGTTATATTTGCATAAGAAATTAGGGGGTAATTTGTTATGAAATATAAACCTCAGGGGGTAAATTGTTATGAAAATACAAACCTCAGGGGGCGGGATGTAATTTTCGAAACCTCAGGGAGGTATCTGTAATTTAACCAAACCTCAAGGGGTGTATATGTAATTTGCCCACATTGTTGTTGTTAAGCCATGTGACTTAAGATGCACTCCATAGCACAAGCCACAAAAGAGATGTTTCTTAAATGTTAGTAGTTAGCCCACTTTTAAAGTGATTACAAACTTTTTAGCAGAATGATTGTGTCAAGAGACATACGGCTTTCCAACTTTGCTTCTCCTTTCATCTTCCAAGTCCAAATACATAAACGACAAAAATGTGAATATTTAAGATTCATTGTTTTTTGCTATAAAAAAAAAAAGAAAAAAAGATTCATTGTTTGTTTAGATGGAACACTAAAATATGTATAAAAAAAAAAGTTAGGTAGTGAATTATCTCTTGTTACTTTTTTTTTTTTTCCTCTATCATATATGCCAATTATCTCTTGTAATTTGATCGTGAGATATGATGATCATCAAATTACATAAATCTCTCCTTGGAATAATGGGAAAATTACAACTAAAATCATAAATTTAACATAATTAGAACAGCCACTCCTTCAAGAAACTAAACAGAACTAATTAATGCCATGAATTAACTTTTACATCTTAATCATCATTATCACAGGCACAACAGTGACTGTTGTACCTCAATTTGAAGTATATTATGAATTTATTTTTATGATCCGAACCGTTTATTTTGTAAAATTTGCTGAGTACTTCATGCCTACCAAAAATCATATTAATTGAATATCAATAGCTATATGATCGATAACCAAAAAAAATAAAATAAAAATAAGTTGTTTTTTTTAAAAAAAATAGCATAAAAATATATGCAATTTGATTATATAGTTATTGATATCCGATTAATATGATTTTTAATAGGCATAAAATACTTAAAAAACCCTACAAAATAAACAATTTAAATCATAAAAATAAACTCATAATACACCTCAAACTAAAGCACAACAATAGCACAGGAGCGACCCATCTCCCATTATCTTCACCCTTTTTTTGTCATTACTCCCAAGCAATACCCTTAATCTTTGATTCTACCATATGTTTTTCCAACTTCTTCCTCTATTTCTTCATTTTTATGCGGTCTCCTCCTTTCTTTTGCCCATTGTTGTTAATGTCCTCAATCTTTTATCTCCATATCTCTCTCCCTCTATTTCTCTCTTGATCAATTGTAATTATTAACTATTGAAAATTATCAAATTCTTAATATTGATATTTGGACACACAACATGACCATATTTGGGTCCAACTTATCATATTAAAATTTCAATTTATGCATCCTAGTTTGAAAATAACTTGTTAAATCCAAAATACTAAAAAGACCAGCAATTCTTGGTCCACCAATCAACTCAAGTTCAATATTAAACTAAGAAAAGCAATGTTGACAATGGCTTGTATCCAAAGATACAGAACAAGAACAATCATAAAGGTCCTCAAACCAAAGGGAAAAAACAAACAAAAACAGCATTATGCTTGGGGCAAAATCCTCTTCTCCTGTAGAACCAGTGAAATCCTTTAGCGATACTGCAAATATGAGTAACGACACAACGAACATTAACCCCAAAGAATAAACATGAATCAAAGCATGGATTTATATGACAACAATGGATAATAAAATAAACAAGAGCAAATAATCGTGAATACAAACTTCCAGCTAATGTTAAAAGCAAGTTTTCAACTAGAAAACAACTATCAAGCAAAAAAATTACCAAGTAGGGGGAGGGATTCTGAGATTTACCTTAATAAAGCCAATTTCCTTGGCATTGCTGCGGAAGCACTGTCTGCAGCACATAAGCCCATACTTACGGATCAACCCATGAGGATTCCCACACACGCGACTACAAAAATAACAAATTATTAATGAATGGTTAAAGTTCTAATCACAATGACAATGCATTTCTCAAAAAATAATTGCTGAAGCTTCTTCATGTAAGAGTCTAAATTGTAACACTTCAGTTAAAGGTTTTAAAGGAGTCTTCCTAATGAAAGAAGAGGCCCAGGCAGAAAAAGGAGAGAACGAGAAGAACATTAGAAAGACAGTATTAAACCCCATCTCCAGCGGAGTGAAAAAACTCCAAATCCTTGACAGTGAATGGGTGTATTTAATGAAGCACTAAATGAATCCACAATTTCACAACTTCATTAGTACTTTCAAATATAAAGAAGAGACGCATAGGAACCCCTAAATCATTTCCCAATTCTCCATTTTGTTGCTTAGAAAAGGATGACAAAGGAAAAGATTCTAAATTATCAAGCAAGTACAAAACCTTATTCCACATAACTTGTTAAGGCTTTTGGATTAACCCAAATGACTAGTGCACTTTTTTGGAAACCAGTGTATTATAAATTTAAGAGACAGCTTCTCTTTTTGGTAATTTTCACAGCAGACAAATAGAGCATGAAGGACATTCACTCAAACAGTTTTCAACAAAACAATGTGCCTCTTTAGAAGACAGCATCAACAAAAGCAATATTTCATCACTAACTGCTAGGATAAACATCAACAAAAGCAATAGCAAAAGAAAGGAAACCAAAATGCAAGACTGGAAAGATCGCCAACCAATTAGCCTAGTTCACTTTGACATGCTTTTTCTTATAACAAACAAAGCATTATCTCGACCAACAGAACCACAGCAACCTGACCAATAGACATGGAAACTAATGCCAAAACAATGTCAAACATTACATTAAACAATATATTGACAAATTTGTGTACGTGCCAGATCAATACAAAGTCTACAAACAAATCTAAGCATTCATAAGGTGGTGCATAATTTAGAGAATGTAGTGGTACATAACTTAGAGAAATCCATAAAACCCAAGTTGTTAGTATTATCCGTCAAGGGAATTAGAGGTGGGCTAGGCAGAGAAGTAGAATGTTGTCACACAACCCTAGATCTGCTTGGGATGCTATCAGGGAAAAACCCAACATAGTTCAATGGCACAATACAGTTTGGTTCCCTCAAAATATTCCTAAATGTGCTTTTATTTTATGGATCCTGTGCCAGGGAAGATTGGCTACAAGGAATAGACTATTGGACTGGGAAATGAACATAGATCCTGCTTGCCTGCTATGCTGCCTGTATGGTGAAAGTCAAAAACATTAATTCTTTAGGTGATTTTCTTCATGGATTTGGGGGAAAGCTTTATGCAAGAATAAGGTGATCAAGGCTGGTCCCCAACAACGGGGATGTTGAACTTCAATGGGCCATCTTGAATTGCAGGGAAAACAATTTCAGAAACTCAGTAAATAAGCTATCCCTTATGGTGACTGCCTACCATATTTGGAGGAAGATTAATAACAGTCATTGCAAAGCAGCAGAAAAAGTGAAGCTCTATTCAAGTTGACTGATGAGAACATCAGAGCTACTTTTTATGTCGTGAGAACAATAGTTGGGCTAAAGTTTGGTTATGTAGTGGTGTCTCTAGTTATATTTTCTTGGATTATGATCAAGTAAATTTTGACCTCTCAAACATAAAAGCCCGTACAATAACCTTTAGGCCTCATTTGAGAACATGCTATTTTAGTAACTTTTTGACTAAAATAAGAGGTAAAAAAAACTAGTATGTTTAGCTTTTTAGTTTTTTACGAAAAAATATACAAAAAAATAAAGAGAAAATAGAATCTTTAACTTTTTGATATCGGTTGTTGACTTTTTTTAATTTTTTAGTGACTTTTTGACTTTTAGGCTAAAAAGTGATATTGCCTGACGATGCCTTAGTAATGCATTTTTATAGTTGAAAGAGTCAAGGAGTTTTACTACTTTTTCCATCTAGTTTGATTCTAAATTTGAGTTAAAAACTTGATTTGACATGAACTACTTCAACCCTGTCATCAAAATCTTTTTAAAATTTTCCCTCTAATCCCAAATTTCCAATCATCTCCAACGCTTTATTTTTTAAACTTTTCAATCAAATTCAAATTTTCATGAAGAATTTGACAAATTCTCAATTTAATAAAAAAAACATTTCTCCCTTAGATTTGATAAACATTTGATGAAAGGATAGGAGATGGTTTTTGAGCAATTTTTTGTCAAATTTAGATTTGATGAAAAGAAAAGCTTAAGGCTAGGAGATGAGGGAAATGATATTTTCTGATAGTTGACGAGTCTTAGTGTAATTTAAGCCTGTTTCCCTGATGGTTGTTGTCAACTTTGGTTCTAGTTGCTTGGATTTTGAGTTGCCTTTTCAATCATATTCTCTGATTTATAAAAATTTTACATGCCAAAAAAGCATTTTAAGCATTCATAAAAGAAGAAAAACGAATAACGGCATACAAACCATCTACAAACTCAAATCGAAGAATCAATAACAAACAGTATGAATCGTAAGGCTTAAAAAGTCGATTTCTTTCGTTTTTCCATCCATTTTCTCGGCAACCAAACATAGTACTGAGAAAGAAAGGTGGAGATGATGTAAGATGATAATTACCAGGTGCGAGAGCCAGGACCATAGCTCTTTGGATGAGAGTTCCAGACATTCGAGTGACCCATCTTCTCTCTCTCTCTCTCTCTCTCAATCCGCGAAGCTCTACAAACTCAGCGGCTGCAGACTCTTCAAAACCCTAATCGCAGAGGATAATGCGATGTTCACCAAAGTTGCCTCTTGTAGGACTACGGTTTGCAAACCCCGTTTCGTTTGGGTTGTGAGTTGGGCCATTTTTTTAATTTTTTTTTGCACTCTCATTTTAGGTTTCATTTGGAATAGATTATTTTAATAATTTTTTAATTTTTTATGAAAATGTATGTAGAAAAATAAAGAGAATATAATAATTTATAATAATTTTTTAACTTTTTGACTAAAATATATAATTGACAAACGAGACCGTTTGAGGCTAAAAAGTCTCATTCGTGATAGATTTTTTAATTTTTGTAAGAGAAAAAATAAAATAATTATGGATTTGATATGACATTTTGTCATATTTAGCTAAAATAACTTATTTTGTCTTATATGGTTATTAACCAAACATAGCGTTAGTAATATTTTTAAAAAATAATTACAAATTTATTACAAAATTTACTTTTTTTATTTTTTTTCTTATTTTTCTTATTATTAATTTTGTTAACTTAATAAAAATTCTTTAAAAATTAAATAAATAGAGTAATAATATTACTTATAATTTAATTTTTACGATTATAATTTTTTATTTTATTAATTTAAAATAAGTTATAAATCGGTTTGGTACAACTTTCCATAATTTATAAACAAAATTGAACCTATTTGATTAAAAAAAAAAATTGAATTGGAAAAAATGACGCTCCATGAGGATATCATAATATCCGTAGGTCCTAACCTTGACTCTGGGGTAACTAGTTGGTACAACTTTCCATAATTTATAAACAAAATTGAACATATTTGATTAAACAAAAAAAAAAAAAATTGAATTGGAAAAGATGACGCTCCATGAGGATATCATAATATCCGTAGGTCCTAACCTTGACTCTGCGGTAACAAGTTGCTAGTTAGGTTTAACCCAACTCAAGAAAGGGACCTACTACCAAGACAAACGGATAATGCATCAACCCCCAACATAGGAGGCATAGTCAAGATTGGAATACAACACAATCAACTTCAACCAATAAAGGAAAATGCTAGTTGTGCCTCGAGAAGTCGATCCCTGCTCACCTGTGTTGAAGGAATGCATTTTTCTACGTTTTCACCGGCCCGATAGTATTTGATTAAATAAATTGCCACATAGTTTTTTTATTGTACAAATATTTAAGATGCTCTCAAAACTTACAAATAAGGTAAAGGAAATAGAACTATTTTGTCCACAAATATTTGGGAGTTTTAAATAACCTATAAAAGTTATAAATTGTACATAATAAAATCTCACTATTTTGTTTTTTTTACTCGGGCGGTAGTATAAGTGGTCATAGAAAGGGTATTTAAGTATTACGGTGAGGTTTTAGATTTGAGTTTATTAAGAAACATTGACTTACTTTGTAATCTAACTACTCACATACTAATGCTATCTTTATAGAAAGAAAAAAAAAATGTAATTTTCTTGGGCCAATTAAACTGAAAAATGCCGAGTAACCTATAACCTAAAATAACATCTAAACATCATTAGTCAATTTTTACTACTTATTTAAGAAGTTGGCTATTTTAGTTGGTTATTTAGCTTTTTGAATATTTTGCTTGGTTAAAAAAGTTGTGTTTGAAAAGTTAATTGATTTTTTTTTATAATTAATTTAATGGCTGTGAGAGAAAAAAATAAAATAATTATGGGTTAAATATGATATTTTATCTTATTGACTATTTTAGTCTATTTTATCTTTTAATGGGTTATTTTAACCCCCAAACATCAAATAAGGTAAATAAATTAACTTATAAGTATTACCAAATTAGGCCATCATGAATCTCGCTATTTTTTAGATTATTTATATTAAATAATTTTAATTTTTATATAAATTTTTATGTGACATGATAAAATAAATAAATTCGATAATAAAATAATATTTTCTCAGAAATAATAATAATAATAATAATAATAATAATAATAATTTAGTTAAAAAATAAGAAGACCGACGGACTGTTAGGGGTGTTTAAATAACCGAATACCCGACGTACCCGACATGACCTGACCGACCCGTGTCAATCATGGATGGTTTCGATGAACATCACGGTCGGTTGCGAGTGAAGTATATCATTTTTGAGTAATGTTAGAGACTCAAAAATTTTTACAAATTTTTTTACCAAATGTCTCACATGGGTGTGAGACCTATACCATACGGGTTCCAGACTCATGTGAGACATTTGATACAAATTTTAAAATCTTCAACATTTTTAATCATTTCTTTTTCTAAATATCGGTCAAGTAACAGTTTTGCTAATAAAATATTTGATAAATCCGAACTGGCCGATATAATAATTATTATTAATATATACCACCGTTCCGTGACTTAAGGGTTGTTTGGGATGTCTTAAAAAAGTGTACTTTTTATTTTTTTAGACTAAAAAGTTGAGGTTGAAAATAGTGAGACATTTGATACAAATTTTAAAATCTTCAACATTTTTAATCATTTCTTTTTCTAAATATCGGTCAAGTAACAGTTTTGCTAATAAAATATTTGATAAATCCGAACTGGCCGATATAATAATTATTATTAATATATACCACCGTTCCATGACTTAAGGGTTGTTTGGGATGTTCTAAATAAGTGTACTTTTTATTTTTTTAGACTAAAAAGTTGAGGTTGAAAATATGAATGTTTGGGTTAACGTTTTGATTTTTTATGGAAAAATGTGTATTAAAAAATTGTATAAATTAATGTGTAGGAGAAAATTAGTATGGGGAGTTGTGTAGCTGTAAGTTGACTTTTGATGAATAATGATAACTTTTTGACTTTTTGACTTTTTGACTTTTTGACTTTTTTGGGACTTCCCAAACTTGGCCTTATATGAAGGGTTTTGGCAAGCTGGTCAAAAACTAGTTTTTTAGTTTTTTGACTTTTTTAGGTCACATCATCTCTCTACATTTTTACATAAAAAAAAGCCATACAAAACAAAAAAAAAAACCAATTTTTTAACGAGATTGGCTTCCCTCCAGCCCGTGGGGCCCCACCACCGGTCCAGTTTCGATAATTCGAACCGTTCAATATGTAGAATGTGACGCCCCTAAATTTGAATAATTAAACATTTAATCAATATTCCATCATCAAAATCCTAGAGGTGAAATAAAATTTAAATGCTCTCGTCTCCATAAAGTTTAAGTAAATTTCAATGCTAAAAAAAATATAAAGGATAAAAAAATAAAAATAAATGCCAACCAAACTATCTATCATAAATTCATAACTATCCAATGCCTCCAACATTAAAGTAGCAACAATTAGTTAAAACAACTTAAATAATGTAAAGTCAAAAAATAACCCACAATGTCAAATTGTCAAAATACTAAGGTTATAAAAAAAAAAAAATACATAAACTAAAGGGCAAATTACATATACCCCTCGATGTTTGGCTAAATTACAAATACCCCCTGAGGTTTGAGAAATTACAAATTTTCCCTTGAATGCTATATTTGCATAACAAATTAGGGGGTAATTTGTTATGAAATTTAAACCTCAGGGGGCAAATTGTTATGAAAATACAAACCTTAGGTCACATCTCTACCACATCACTTCAAACCCAACCCATATCCAACTCATATTTCATAAAAATTCAAAAAGTGCACTTATTTAGATCATCCCAAACTACCCCTTAATTATCCAAAAAAAAATGTTATAAGAGTATGGTATGTCTTTAATTTTATTATTTTAAAATTATATAAATTATATTGCCCTCTTTTAAATTTTAATAAAAATATAATTAATTTTACAATTTTAATATAATTATGGTAATGTTCCATACTTTAATAGCAAAGTTAATGAAACTAACTGTTGTTATAAAATTACATTTTTAGCATTTTATATTGTAATGAAATGACCAGTCATAGAAGACATGAGATAGTGGAAAGCACTATGAAGAAGAATAAGGGTAGGTCCATAGGCCCCGTTTGTTTTGGGCTATAGGGAGGGTATTGGGACTAGTAATACCAAGGTATTACTAAAGTCCCTGTTTGTTTGCAGAGAAAGGGTTGGGACTATTAGTCCCTTGGTATTGCTAATACCCTTGGAAGGGGGATTGGTAAGGAGGAGGTAGAGATGGTATTAGAAAATAGTGAGGGGATTAGAAATTTTTTTATTTTTTATATATTGGGAATTTTTTTTTAAATATAATGTTTAATTTTTTATATTTTTTTATTTGTTTTATTATTTTATATAAAAATAATTTAACAATTCCTCATTATTAATCCCCTCACTATCAATCTCCTCATTATCAATCCCCTCCATTCTATCTCCCAAAATAAACGGGGCCAACTTTTGATGAATAGTGATAACTTTTTAACTTTTTGACTTTTTTGGAACTTCCCAAACTTGGCCTTATATGAAGCGTTTTGGCAAGCTGGTCAAAAACTAGTTTTTTAGTTTTTTGACTTTTTTAGGTCACATTATCTCTCTACATTTTTACATAAAAAAAAGCCATACAAAACAAAAAAAAAACCAATTTTTTAACGAGATTGGCTTCCCTCCAGTCCGTGGGGCCCCACCACCGGTCCAGTTTCGATAATTCGAACCATTCAATATGTAGAATGTGACGTCCCTAAATTTGGATAATTAAACATTTAATTAATATTCCATCATCCAAATCCTAGAGGTGAAATAAAATCTAAATGCTCTCGTCTCCATAAAGTTTAAGCAAATTTCAATGCTAAAAAAAATATAAAGGATAAAAAAAAATAAATAAATGCCAACCAAACCATCTATCATAAATTCATAACTATCCAATGCCTCTAACATTAAAGTAACAATAATTAGTTAAAACAATTTAAATAATGTAAAGTCAAAAAATAACCCACAATGTCAAATTGTCAAAATACTAAGGTTATAAAAAAAAAATAAATACATAAACTAAAGGGCAAATTACATATACCCCCTCGATGTTTGGCTAAATTACAAATACCCCCTGAGGTTTGAGAAATTACAAATTTTCCCTCGAATGCTATATTTGCATAACAAATTAGGGGGTAATTTGTTATGAAATTTAAATCTCAGGGGGCAAATTGTTATGAAAATACAAACCTTAGG